TTTGGGATACATGAATGAAGTCACGGTTGCCTGCCTACCTTGCTCGTCGCCTTCTGAGGAGCCACTCGCCTCCTCCTCCTCCTCCTCCTCCTGCACTCTCCGGAAGAGGGAGTAACTCCTTGCTGCAAATGGTCTTTTCCTGACTTGTGCAACGAGCCCTTGGCACCCTGGCGCCCATGTGGGACGCTCTTCCCTTCACTGCATGCATCTTCCAGCCCCTTCACCCCCTCTGCTGTCTCCCCTTCTCTGCTGTCTCCGCCACTTCTCTCAACGACGAGTCTCTTTGAATCGACTCAGAATTCTCCCCACGTGGGACACTCTCCCCTTCCCTGCATGAATCTTCCAATCCCTTCAACCCCTCTGCTCTCCCCGCCACATCTTCGCTTCCTCAACGGCGATGACCTTTGAACGCCCTCCTTGGCCGCCTCTACCCTCTCCACCTCAGCGTCTGTTCCTATGCGAGGAGGAGCGCACTCACAGGGACTCGTCCTTATGACGGGGCATTTATCTTCGCTTCCTCTCAAGGACGAGTCCCTGTGAGTGCACTCCTCCTCGCATTCTGCTGGTGCATCTGTGCTGTTACTCTCACAGCTCAAGTCGCGATCCACAGCGCTGCCACTGCCACTGCCACTGCCGCTGCCTGTGCAGCGCTGTGGGTGAGCAACGGTGGCAGCAGTGCTGTGTGTCAGCTCTGGCAGCGGCGGCACTGCAGCATCAGTGTTCGTGCTGCTGCTGCCAGAGCCAGTGACAGCGGCAGTGCAGTGGCAGTGGCAGTGGCAGTGGCAGTGGCAGTGGCAGTGGCAGTGGCAGTGGCAGTGGCAGTGGCAGTGGCAGTGGCACAGACGGCACTGTCACTGTCTGGCCCCAAAGGGGGGTTGTCACAGTGTTGCTGAGCAACGGGCAGGGCACAGATGTCACTCCACACGCCACACACCGCTGCTCTGCCACCATCCAGCACCATCACTCTGTCGCAGCTGGGGATGTGGGGGGGGGAGGAAGGGGGCAGAATGGACACTGAGGGAAGCTGAGGAAGAGCATCAGAACAAGAGGCCGCAGGATTAGGGAGAGGGATCAAATGGGCAAGCCGAAGGAAAGAAGGTACATCTTCTGTGTGCATGGATGATTTCGAGCAGACAAAACACTTGTGGTGTGCACGCACGCGTGAATGGGACGCAACAGAAACGTACAGGCGCATGACCAGACACACCACAGGGGAAGGGCAACGAGCCCATATGCGAGTGCAAGTGTGTAAAAAGCGGCGGCGGTGCAAGTGTGCAATGGAGGGCGGTTCACTGTGCAAAATACTCCGTTCCCCTCCCTCATCAAATAATCCTCTGTTCCCACCCATCCCTCCCCGCCACTACCGTACTGTTAGAACTGGAGCTTGAAATGGTACATTAGTAATGAGCTCAAAGCTTTTTAAGACATCAGAAATGAGCAAGGTTTAGATGAGGAGGAAATCGGGGGCAAACTCAAGGGGATCGGGGGCAATCCCAAGGCAATCTCCAATTGGTGGGTTGGAGATTGCTTGGTGATCACGCTTGGGTTTGGTTGGGATGTGGGTGTACACCCAACCAAACAAAAAGTGCAAACTACACTAGGCTAGGATATAGAAAGTACAAATACAAAAGTTGAGATTGAGGGCTAGCTCTAACACATACCTGCCAAGGTACTGCGCGTGGTGAGTGACGACAATCCGGGGCAACCCTGCCAGCAGCCCACACACGCACTGCTGAAACACGTGGCAGGCAATGGCTGGATCCAACGCGGCTAGCGGGTCGTCTAGGAGGACCAGCACGGGTGGGGAAGCACCCCTGCTGCTGCTGCTGCTGCTGCTGCTGCTGCTGCTGTGCTAGTTCTCTTGCTGCTGCTATAGTTACCACCACTGTTTCCACTGCTGCTACCACTATTGCTGCTGCCATTGCAATCAGTGTATGCCTGAGGTGTGGCATATGCTGCCAGGGGCGACTTTTGCGTCGACTCAAAAGTCATCTTGCAGTGCAGGGCGGCATACGCCGCCCGGGCGAGCGACACGCGCGCCCTTTGCCCGCCACTAAGGTTGCCGCCGCCCTCCTCCACCAAATTCGTCGCCACGTGGCAATAGGGCCAAGTCCGCGCGGAGCGCACAGGCGTCCAACACCTTCAGTGGGGGAGGGAGATAGCAAGAGAGAAGGGGGGGGGGGGGGGGAGAGAAGGGAGATAGGGGAGCAAGAGAGAGCGGGGAGGAGAGCGCAATGCGGACGACGTTTAAGGCACCTCAAAGAGTCCGACGTTTGAGCACAGGACACACGCATCCACCACCTTGAGTGGGGGGGGGGGGGGGGGGCAGCAGAGTGTGCGAGGGGAAGAAGGCATTAATAGACGTTCAGAGAGACGATAACTAGCAGAATGAGAGAGAGTGGCGAGAGATGGAGGAGATGGAGGCGGGGAGGAGATAGAGGCGGGGAGGAGAGGGCAAAGGGGAGGAGAGGGCAAAGGGGAGGAGAGGGCAAAGGGAGGAGAGGGCAAAGGGGAGGAGAGGGCAAAGGGAGGAGAGGGCAGGGGGGAGGGGGAGGAGAGGGCAAGGGGAGGAGAGGGCAAAGGGGAGGAGAGGGCAAAGGGGAGGAGTGGGCAAAGGGGAGGAGTGGGTGATGGGGAAATGGGACTGCGGAGGGGAGCCTTAAGAGACGTTCAAACGCAAGATAGAATCAGGGCAGACCTACCTTGGCATGAAGTGTACCTTGGCATGAAGTGTACCTTGGCATGAAGTGTACCTTGGCATGAAGTGTACCTTGGCATGAAGTGTACCTTGGCATGCAGTGTACCTTGGCATGAAGTGCACCTTGGCATGCAGTGTACCTTGGCATGCAGTGTACCTTGGCATGCAGTGTACCTTGGCATGAAGTGTACCTTGGCATGAAGTGTACCTTGGCATGCAGTGTACCTTGGCATGAAGTGTACCTTGGCATGAAGTGTACCTTGGCATGCAGTGTACCTTGGCATGCAGTGCACCTTGGCATGCAGTGCACCTTGGCATGCAGTGCACCTTGGCATGCAGTGTACCTTGGCATGCAGTGCACCTTGGCATGCAGTGTACCTTGGCATGCAGTGTACCTTGGCATGCAGTGTACCTTGGCATGCAGTGCACCTTGGCATGCAGTGTACCTTGGCATGCAGTGTACCTTGGCATGCAGTGCACCTTGGCATGCAGTGTACCTTGGCATGCAGTGTACCTTGGCATGCAGTGTACCTTGGCATGCAGTGCACCTTGGCATGCAGTGTACCTTGGCATGCAGTGTACCTTGGCATGCAGTGTACCTTGGCATGCAGTGCACCTTGGCATGCAGTGCACCTTGGCATGCAGTGCACCTTGGCATGCAGTGTACCTTGGCATGCAGTGCACCTTGGCATGCAGTGTACCTTGGCATGCAGTGTACCTTGGCATGCAGTGTACCTTGGCATGCAGTGTACCTTGGCATGCAGTGCACCTTGGCATAGAGAGCCTCGTCTAGCGGTGTGCCGAATAGGATGTTTTCACGCACCGTGCCTTCGATGAGGAACGGCTGGTGGCATAGACGCACACGGGGAAAGGGAGAGGAGGGGAGTGGAAGGGTGGGGGAGGTTTTAGTCGACGCAAAACTCGAATAGGATGTTGTCTCGCACCGTCCCCTCAATGAGGAGCGGCTGGTGGCATAGACGAGACACAAACGGGGGAAAGGGGAGAGGAGGGGCTGTGAGAGAGAGGAAGGTGGTTGGTGGTAGGTTGTAATATGCACAAGTGAGTCGAAGAGGTACGGGAGGACACAACACAGGGATGTGCCTTGTGCGTGGAAGGGAAAGGCTGGTACACATCAGGTCACTGGCAAAGGGTGCCAAAGGATGAGAGACGAGTGGGTAGGGAAGGGGTGAGAGAGAGACGAGTAGCAAAGGTTGAGCAGCAAATGGGAGGCAGACCTGCTGCGATGCGTATGCGTAGGCGAGGGAGGCACGGAGCGGTGCATGGCGCCGGATGAGAGAGGCACTTCCCCGAGGATACCCAGCAGCAGCAGTGACTTGCCACTGCCCGTCTGCGAGGTGGAAAGGGTGGGGTGGGAGGCAGTGTAAATGGCATGATCACATCGGTGTTTTCTTGAAGCCTGCATTACTGTCAAGTGCGATACTCAGCAGGTAGCACAGCAGGCAGCACAGCAGGCAGCAGCAGCAGCAGCACAGCAGGCAGCACAGCAGGCAGCACAGCAGACAGTAGAACAGTCTGTGACAGCCAGAGGCGCACAACACGCACAAGGCACAGGCATGCCTTGCGGAACATAGCAGGACATAGCAGGCCATAGCAGGCCATAGCATTCCATGGCATTTTATAGCATTCCATGGCATTCCATAACAGGCAATCGCAGGCAATAGCAGGGCGCACGAAGCAACCAGCGGGCTTACCTTGCCAGTGACTCCCACGACCTCTCCCTCTCACCTTGCCAGTGACTCCCACGACCTCTCCCTCTCACCTTGCCAGTGACTCCCACGACCTCTCCCTCTCACCTTGCCAGTGACTCCCACGACCTCTCCCTCTCACCTTGCCAGTGACTCCCACGACCTCTCCCTCTCACCTTGCCAGTGACTCCCACGACCTCTCCCTCTCACCTTGCCAGTGACTCCCACGACCTCTCCCTCTCACCTTGCCAGTGACTCCCACGACCTCTCCCTCTCACCTTGCCAGTGACTCCCACGACCTCTCCCTCTCACCTTGCCAGTGACTCCCAGCAGCTCTGCCTCTCCCACCCTCACGCTCACTCCCCCTCCCCCGACCGCTCGGTGCGCGTGCACCGTCTATCTCAACATGCCCCTCTTGCTCCTCCTGTGCAGTCACACACGTGCCCTCCAAGGCAGCAGCACCAGCAGCATCAGCAGAAGCAGCAGCAGCAGAAGGGCCAACAGCAGGGGAAGGGCCAGCAGCAGCATGAAAGCTCATGAATCGCTGCAGGGAACGCGCGCGGAAAGCCTTGGGGATGCGTCGGAAACTCCTGACTCTGCTCATGTAGCCCTTGCCATAAGGCGTGCCATCGACCGTGCGAGGCTCGGTGACATCCAGAACATGCCCGGCCGATGCTTGAGTCGACTCGGCAATCGCCTCAAGCGCTTGCTTTTTCCTCCTTCCTCTGAATCCCTTTCCTCCTTCCTCTTTGCTCTCCCACTTCCCCTCGCCCTTAACCTCCCCGGCTGCTTCTCCCCAAGCAAAAGAAGCCCTTTCAAGCACCAAGGCAGCACGGGGGGGCAGGGAAGGCGTGAGGGAGCAGAGGAGGAGAGGCTGTGGCTGGGCTGTGAGGCGAGCTCCGAGGATGGTGAGGACTGGAGACTCGGTGCTGGGGGGTGTATACTTGGTACTGGAGACTGGAGACTCGGTGCTGTGAGAGCAGCAGTTGTTGATTCATGTGGCTTGGTGGTGGTTGGGGTGTCAAGGGCATGGCAGCGCGCTTTTGGGAGCAGAGCAGAGCCATTCTGAGATGGCGCTTCTTGCTGCCTGGCTCCGTGGGGAGTGGTCTGTTGGAGTGAAGGTGGCACGCACAGGGAGGTGCATGTAGAGGCAGGCAACGGGGATGAGATGGCATTCAGTAAGCTGGACGAGCCACTCATCGCACCCACCCACCTATCCACCCACCCACCTACCCATACACATTGAGGCTTGCTCTCATCACCAATCGCACCTCATCACAACATTGCAACCGTTATTTGTGGTGCTCTAACCAGACAACAGGGCGTGCGCTGCAACGCGTTGATAGCGATAGGCGGTGAAAAGCCGAGAGAAGCGGTGCGTGGTTTCGAGTCGAGTCAAGAAGAATCGTTGCAAACGTGTTGGCCGGTAACAGTAGGCGGTGAAAAGACAAGAGAAGGGTGGGTGGGTGGGTTGGCAACAGCAAAGAGCACGCTGCTTCCTGCATGCTGACCTGCAGGAAGTGTGAGAGTCGCTTGAAGCTGACAAATGCCTCTGCTATTTGCTGTATGCCATAGGCCACCTTCCACCCCATGGTGTAGTGCGGGATCTGTGGGGATATGGTATGGAGGGGCGGAGGGACCGGAGGGAGGAGCGGAGGGAACGGAGGGAGGAGCGGAGGGAACGGAGGGAGGGGAGGAAGGGAAGTGTGGGGCATGTTAGTGGACTGTTTACAGAGAAGCAACGGTGCAACTGATTAGAAAGAAGCAACGGTGCACGATGAGATGACCATCCCACTCAGCTCAGTCACCCACGATTGTTGAGGCGCCTCAACGATTGCAACGGTGCACAATGGCCAGCAGCCCACGCGCCGTTGAGCAACGCATTCAATCCAATCCATCCTCCCCCTGCGCCGTGCGCATTGATGAGTGGGCAGCGCTACTGTGAGTGAAAGCACGTGCACGTGTATGTATCCCGTCAACTCTGCTCGACTAAGGGCCCAGGAAAGACGCACCTCGAGGAGCATGAGCGAGCACGTATGCTTTTGAGTCGACTCAATAGGAGCATGAGCGAGCATGTAGAACACAGCGCCGCTGTGAGTTGGCCTCCGAGGCACGTGAGGGTGTTTATGAGGCGCCTCAAGAACTGAGTTAGCACGAAGCGTGAGCGCTCGGCTGAGGGGCACGGAAGCAAGGAAAGACGTACCTGGAGGAACGTGAGCGAGCATGTAGAACACAGCGGCCGCCGTGAGAGGTGCCCTCTGAGGCACGCTGTGAGAGATGCAGTTTTCCTTTCGGATGGCTCGATGGAGGTGCATGGAAGGGAAGCAAGGAGAGGTGCAGCGCACCTCGAGGAGAGTAAGCACGTAGAACACAGAGGCTGCGGTGAGTTGCCCTCCGAGGCACGTGAAGGTGGCGAAGGTGACGAGGGCGACCACGGAGGTGAAGGAGAAGTAGAGTGCAGCCGTCACGGCGTTGAGGGCGGCTGTCCACTGCAGGCTGCGTGGAAGACGAGAGGGGAGGATGGAGGGGATTTGTAGGTGACTTAGAAAGCCACCACGGAGGTGAATGAGAAGTAGAGTGCAGCCGTCACGGCGTTGAGGGCGGCTGTCCACTGCAGGCTGGCAGAAGGACGGACGGGGCGGATGGAGGGTGCAGGGCAGGGAGGTGGAGGGATGCTTTTTAGGCGGCTCAAAAAGCGTCCATCACGGCGTTGAGGGCGGCTGTCCACTGCAGGTTGGCATAAGGAAGGGCGGGGCGGATGGAGGGGATTATTGGGGTGCCTCAGAAGCAACCAGCGAGGTGAATGAGAAGAAGAGGGAGCCAATGATGATTCTGATTAGGAGCGGAGTCAATGACAAGGACTGTTCGAGAGAGAGAGAGGGGTTCTGCTTTTGAGTCGACTCAAAAGTGGACGGAAGGAGCGAATGCTGATTCTGATTAGGAGCGGAGCGGATTCAATGACAAGGACTGTTCGAGAGAGAGGGGGGGTGGAGGGGCGGGCGAGGGTGAGAGGGAAGAAGAGGGAGAGGGGAAAGCTTGGAACAAATGAGGGAGGGTGGGAAGGGGATAGGGAGGGCAAAAGTGGTGGAGTTGGAGGGGATGGACTCACAAGGACACTTCTGTGCGCCTGATTCGTTGGATGATTGCTGTGAGCGGCCCCTCCAGAGCCAGCGTCTTCACTGTCAGGATGCCGCCCAGAGCCTGTTGTGGGGCAAGGAAATGGGTGAGTGGGTAGGTGGGATTGTTGGGTGAGTGAGAGGGGACGAGAATTGAAGGATGTTAGGAGCATCCCTTCCAGAGCCAGCGTCTTCACCGTCAGGATGCCGCCCAGAGCCTGTTGTGGGGCAAGGAAATGGGTGAGTGAGATCGGACGGAGTTGAAGGATGTTACGAGGGGAACACAAGGCAGGCAGGCACGTGAGAGGCCAAGGATATGCCATACTGCAGTGCAATTCCAATGACAGGTCGAGAACATACCTTTCTAACCTCCTCTCTTCCCCTCCCTCACCCAACCCCTCTCGTCCCCTCCCTCACCCAACCCCTCTCGTCCCCTCCCTCACCCAACCCCTCTCCTCCCCTCCCCCATCCAACCCTCCTCGTCCCCTCCCTCCCCCATCCCCACTCTTTCCCTCTCCCTCCTCCCCAACCGCCCACCTCCTCTGTGTGCTTGACGCGTGCATCTGTGGCCTCCGTCGTTTTTGCCCGCAGCCACACCCTCCACTTGCCACACGCCAGCTGGTGTTGCTCGGTTGTTCGGGGGTGGGGTGGAGGGAGGGGGGGGGGAAGGGGAGGAGGAGTGGAGCACGTAAGGGGAATGGAGAGAGTGGCACATGGAGGACAGACGGGGAAGAGCGGGTGAGGCTGACATGTGTGCTTGACGCGTGCATCTGTGGCCTGCGCAGTTTTTGCCCGCAGCCGCACCCTCCACTTGCCACACCCCAGCTGGTGTTGCTCGGTTGTTCGGGAGGGAGAGAGAAGCGTGCATGTGGGAGAAAAGAAGCGGCTGACAAGGTGTGAGGGGGCAACCAGGCATGCTTGCGTTTTGAGACGTCTCAAAATACAACCTCTATCATTGTGCATGTGGGAGAAAAGAAGCGGCTGACAAGGTGCGAAGGGGCAATCAGGCATGCTTGCGTTGCAGGCACAGGCACATTAGTGAGGGGACATTCTTAGCCTTGTAGCACCCAGTTTCCACTACACATATAAGGACCATCTGAGAAAGAGAGAGGGGGGCCAAACCACGAATGCCAGTGACAACCACGCACCTGTAGCGGAAGAAGCAGCAGTTGAGTGCCAATGCCAGCGATGGTGGGCACCCATCCGATCTCCCTCGCTATAAGCCACGTGACCAACACAAGCTCGATTGGAGCCTGCACAACGACGGAAACAGGAAAGCAAGACGTACGCAGGGAGTCTGTATTTCCGCGCCTTACAATAAGCCAGGTGACACTGTGACAATCACGAGTTCCTATTGGGGCCTGCGTAACAACGAAACAGGACAGAAAGACAAGCAGCCAGGGGGTCTGTTTTGAGGCGCAAAAAAATCAGCCAAGTGACCAACACAGGCTCTATCGGAGCCTGCGTAACAACGGAAACAGGACAGCAAGACAAGCAACCAGGGACGCAGGAACACAGGAATACGGAGAATGTGTGACGTGAAGACAGGCAGTCATTCACAAGAAAGGCAAGCAGCGTTGTTCGAATGGGTTTAGGGTAAAGGCAAGCAGCGTTGTTCGAATGGGTTTAGGGTAACGGCAGCCGCATTCTTCTTGACCTTGCTCCTATCCACTCCCTCTTCTCGTCTCCTTCACCCACCACCGCAGACCCCACTCCACGCCACTCCATTCCAAAGCCCTTCCCCAGACAGCCCCATTCCCCATCCCCCATCCCTGGCACCACTCCCAATCGTGCACTTTGCCTCACCACACAGAGAGCGCCTGGCTGCAGAGCACCAGGTCGTCCAATCCCCCATCCGCCATCCGTCATCCCTCACTCACCCCCCACCCCACCATGTGCCCCGCCTCACCACCCATAGCGCCTGCCCGCAGAACACCAGGTCGTCCAATCGGCGCACGTCATTGGACAGCAAATTGATGAAGTGAACGCTGCACCCCATCCCCCCATCCGCCATCCCCCACCAGTTTCCCCCCCCACCCCACCGTGCGCTTCGCTTCGCCTCACCACCCAGAGCGCCTGGCTGCAGAACACCAGGTCGTCCAATCGGCGCACGTCATTGGACAGCAGGTTGATGAAGTGAACGCTGCACCCCATCCCCCCCATCCGCCATCCCCCACCAGTTCCCCCCCCCCACCCCACTGTGCGCTTCGCTTCGCCTCACCACCCAGAGCGCCTGGCTGCAGAACACCAGGTCGTCCAATCGGCGCACGTCATTGGACAGCAGGTTGATGCAGTGCCCGCTGCTGACGTGGCTCAGCGCACTGGCGGTGAGCGTGAGGAGGTGACGATGCACTGCAGGGGAGACAGTGGGTGTGAGAGGGGAGGGGAGGAACATCAAGTTGACTTTCAAAACGAATCAGAAGTCATCATCGCTTATTGTGACACACACTTTCTTCCAAGAGGAGGTGACGATGCACTACAGGGGAGACAGTGGGTGTGAGAGGGGAGGGGAGGAAGAGCGAGTTGACTTTTGAGAGTGGGCGGGGAGGAAGCAGAAGTGGAGTGGATGGGGAGGAAGCAAATGTGGGCGGGAGGACAATCGGGGAAAGGGCTGAGGGGGATGGACGGAAAGAAACAGAGGCCCGTTGTGGCCACCGCCAGTGAATTTTGAGGCGCCTCAAACGCTCCCTCTCCTCACCTGCACTGATGGCGGCGGTGCGAGTGTTGGTGGAGACAACATATGCGCGGTAGCACAGCTGCTGGGTCACCACGGCCAGCACCACCGCCAGTGCCACTGACTTTTGAGGCGCCCCAAACTCTCCCTCTCCCTCTACTCACTGACCTGCGCTGATGGCGGCAGTGCGAGTGTTGGTGGAGACGACATATGCGCGGTAGCAGAGCTGCTGGGTCACCACGGCCAGAGCCACCGCAACTGCGCCCATCCCTGCTGCCGTGAGGTAGCCCTCCGTGGGCCCACACTGTCCTGCCTCGCTGCTGCTGCTGCTGCTGCTGCTGTCACACGCTTCCAGGTAGGCGACCTGGTGGAGGGGAAGGAAAGGGGAGGGGAGACGTATGCGCGGTAGCAGAGCTGCTGGGTCAGCGCGGCCAGCGCCACTGCCAGTGCGCCCAGCCAGCCCTGCTGCTGTGCAGGGAGTTTTTGAGAATTCTCAAAAACTCCCTGCAACGTGAGATAACCCTCAGTGGGCCCGCACTGCCCTGCCTCGGCGGCCGCTGCTGCTGCTGCCACTGCTGCTGCTGCCGTCACTGCTGCTGCTGCCGTCACACGCTTCCAGGTAGGCGACCTGGTGGAGGGGAAGGATGGGGCAGAGAGGATTGATGGAGAGTGCGGAGGAGTGGGGGAGAGGAGAGGAGGGTATGGTTTTGGAAATGATGAAGCGTAAGAGGCTCGTCATTCACACGATTATATACGCACATTCACGCCTGCACGCACACACGCAGTCACCATGCAATACAGCAGCACTCACAATGCGATACAGCAGCACTCACTATGCAATACAGCAGCACTCACTATTTGAGACAGCAGCACTCACGATGCGATACAGCAGCACTCACTATGCGATACAGCAGCACCCACTATGCGATACAGCAGCACCCACTATGCGATACAGCAGCACTCACTATGCGAGACAGCAGCACTCACGATGCGATACAGCAGCACTCACGATGCGATACAGCAGCACTCACGATGCGATACAGCAGCACTCACGACGCGATACAGCAGCACTCACGATGCGATACAGCAGCACTCATGATGCGATACAGCAGCACTCAAGATGCGATACAGCAGCACTCACTATGCGATACAGCAGCACTCACAATGCGATACAGCAGCACTCACGATGCGAGACAGCAGCACTCAAGATGCGATACAGCAGCACTCACGATGCGATACAGCAGCACTCACGATGCGATACAGCAGCACTCACTATGCGATACAGCAGCACTCACGATGCGATACAGCAGCACTCATGATGCGATACAGCAGCACTCAAGATGCGATACAGCAGCACTTACGATGCGATACAGCAGCACTCAAGATGCGATACAGCAGCACTTACGATGCGATACAGCAGCACTCAAGATGCGATACAGCAGCACTTACGATGCGATACAGCAGCACTTACGATGCGATACAGCAGCACTTACGATGCGATACAGCAGCACTTACGATGCGATACAGCAGCACTTACGATGCGATACAGCAGCACTTACGATGCGATACAGCAGCACTTACGATGCGATACAGCAGCACTTACGATGCGATACAGCAGCACTTACGATGCGATACAGCAGCACTTACGATGCGATACAGCAGCACTTACGATGCGATACAGCAGCACTTACGATGCGATACAGCAGCACTTACGATGCGATACAGCAGCACTTACGATGCGATACAGCAGCACTCACAATGCGATACAGCAGCACTTACGATGCGATACAGCAGCACTTACGATGCGATACAGCAGCACTTACGATGCGATACAGCAGCACTTACGATGCGATACAGCAGCACTCAAGATGCGATACAGCAGCACTTACGATGCGAGACAGCAGCACTTACGATGCGAGACAGCAGCACTTACGATGCGAGACAGCAGCACTTACGATGCGATACAGCAGCACTTACGATGCGATACAGCAGCACTCAAGATGCGATACAGCAGCACTTACGATGCGATACAGCAGCACTTATGATGCGATACAGCAGCACTTACGATGCGATACAGCAGCACTTACGATGCGATACAGCAGCACTTACGATGCGATACAGCAGCACTTACGATGCGATACAGCAGCACTTACGATGCGATACAGCAGCACTTACGATGCGATACAGCAGCACTTACGATGCGATACAGCAGCACTTACGATGCGATACAGCAGCACTTACGATGTGATACAGCAGCACTTACGATGCGATACAGCAGCACTTACGATGCGATACAGCAAGCACTTACGATGCGATACAGCAGCACTTACGATGCGAATACAGCAGCACTTACGATGCGATACAGCAGCACTTACGATGCGATACAGCAGCACTTACGATGCGATACAGCAGCACTTACGATGCGATACAGCAGCACTTACGATGCGATACAGCAGCACTTACGATGCGATACAGCAGCACTTACGATGCGATACAGCAGCACTTACGATGCGATACAGCAGCACTTACGATGCGATACAGCAGCACGGCTTTGACCACATGAAGCATCGACTCCCCGAGAAACATCACTGCCAGCAGCAACAGCGCCCACCGGTGCGGCCAGTACAGAGCCGCCCAAAACGGCCACTTCCGTGTGTCCTCTGCCCACTTCCGCCTGCCCTGCCCCCTGCCTTCCATCCGCCCGACACCACCAACTGACCGCTTCCGTTCCCCTCCCGCCTTCCCCCCTGCTCCCCTTCACACTGCTCCTCCTCCTTCCGCCCCCATTCCCCATGCTCCTCCCTCTTCCGCCCCCTCTCCCCCTGCTCCCCGTCCATTATGCGCGCCGTTTGTGCGTCCAGCCAATCCGCGCGCCAGGTGCGCGGGGGCGGGGGGAGGTCCGCCGACTGCAGCGTTGTGCGCGCGCCCAGGCGCATTGTGGGGGTCACCTGCGCGCGCGCAGCATTGGTTGGTTTCGTTGTGCGTGGGGGAAGGGAAAGGGAAATGGGTAAGGGAGGGGGCGGAATTGGAGGTGAGAGAGAGGCAAGTAAGTCGCACACACACACGCTAGTAGTGAGTGAGCTGCCTAGCAAGCAGGCTACGCCGAAGGAAGCAAGGAAGAAAACGAGTGACTTGGGTGGAACTGGGCTGCATCCAGCAGAGCATGCAGCAGCCGAGCATGCAGCAGCCGAGCAGGCTGCATGCACGTGACCCACCCACCCATGCGAACGTCAATGCCGACCACAGGCTCGGCTCTCCATCGTCTCCCTCGCCTTCCCCCGCCTCCTCCTCCCCCTCCTCTTCCGCCTCCTCCTCCCCCTCCTCTTCCGCCTCCTCCTCCGCCGCCTCCTCCTGGAAAATGTCAACAGCAGGAGCAGCATTGGTGCCTTGGCCATCACCGACGGCTGTCGTTTCTATCACCGGAGCCGCGCCGCCATCCTCGCAATTGTCGCATGCCCCTGCGAGCAGCAACCGCCCATCCTCCTTGTCGCAAATGTCGCCCGTGGTTATTGTCACGTCGTCGAAGTAACGCGTCTCGCTGACGCTCCGATCGGCTACAGCAATGTCGGTTCGCGGCTGCTTCTGCTGCCGTTCTAAATCCGGAGATAGTGTCATCTCGCCTCCGTCCGTTGAATCAAAACTTGGGGGACACTTTGCGGGGTTATAACACCTCGCTACCCACTGGGTCAAAACGAGGGTCCGTGTTAGATGCAGGCGTTACAGGAGTGGTGAGCGCCGACGACTAAGCCGGTGCTGCTGAGGCGAGTCGCCGCGCCCCTTGACTGTCGCTGTACAGCGACAGATAGGAATTTGACAGTCAGTCTATCCGGCAGATATGAATTTGATAGGAATTCGATGTTGCCGTGTCGCTTGGTTGCCTACGTCGGACAGTTACCCGGAATTTGACTGTCAGTCTATCTGCCAGTCATTCAGTCAGTCTGTTTCTGGGCCGTTTCGTCTCAAACGTAGCTGGCCGTCCAAAGAGAGTGAGCGACGATGGCGGTTCTGTTTACTCGCTTCAAACGAAACGGTATCGTCTATCTCAATGAATTAAGTGTGTAGTCTGATGACCCGAGGAATGAAGTTCGTCCTTTTGCCACGAGACGCCGGTATCGCCTATCGCCGCGAGACTCTCATGGACGTCCCAAAAACGAAATCCGATACGTTATGATAATGCTGCATGAATCGTGCATGAGTCCCGCTATGCACCTCTGGTGGACATGAAAAAAGGCCACCATGATGCATTGCTGAACGGGGGATACCTGAGCGAACATGAGTTCGCTCGCGCACACACATGCGTTTCTTGCCTCTGGAGGCACAATGGACTGACTGAGGCAGAGGCAACTCGAGGATGATCGCTGCAGGAATCCACCCCACCCCACCCACAGAAGAAAATAAATGGTGAGACGGCAACAATGGGTATAAAGCATGTCTGACATTGCCGTTGTGCTGGCGTCTCACGCATGATTGTTTTACAGATCTGTTCAGGCGGGTAATTAACGGTTTAAAGCGGTGACGCGTACAGACCGCTCAGAAGCTCATCATCGCTAACCGTTTGAACTGAACGAAAAAAGCAACCTTTAGTCACGCCTTACTAGTCACATCCCTGGAACAGAAACATCTAAACACAGTGTTTATCTTCTCTGGACTAAACACCTAAATAACTAAAACCCTTAGGAAGGCAGGAATCAACTCTACACATCATGCAAAAGGTGTTCAGGGTTGATGCCACCCATGCTTGCATGACTTTCACCCGAGGGTTTATTTTGTTTTGCCCCGGGTAGCAAGCTTGCTGGGCGGAGTCGTCTGTATATACCCTATTATCAACAAAAAAAAACACTCGAACGGCGCTTTTCAACTTGCATATTTGTTGTTTATTCCAACTCCATACCAAACCCATTGTTACGCTCGCTCCCACAGTTGCTTTGTGTATTCACAACATAAAGGACATTCAGATTTGCTGCTCCACCTGAACAATGCAACAGGTACACTACCACTGTATGACAAGCAGACTGACTGTCCTGCTTGTGCAGCCCGAGAGTATGCTGCTCTGTTTGCATAGAGGAGCACAAAAGGAGCACCTAAAGTGTATGAGTGAAACCGTGGGAGGGCAAGCAGCTTCCAACCGTGCCACCACAGAGTGCAGCATCGAGGGTGACGTTTCAGTGGACTCAGAAACCTTATGGAGTCAGGGTGTCAGTGGGAAGGCAAGCAGCCCGAGCTGTGACACCGCATCCCGCAGCACTCGAGGTGACTTCCAGGTAGACTCAACGCCCTACTTATGAAGCAACCAGGCTGTCAGTGGGAGGGCATGCAGCTCCCAGCCGTGCCACCACACCCTGCAGTACTTGCTTCCTGCTCAATCGGAACTGCACCGCTGTTACCTTCTCCTCCAGCACTGGCAGCAGCACTGCACACCTGCACCGCACTCCCATCACTGTCATCCTCTCCCCTCCCAACCTCCCTCCTCTCGACCTCCCTCGTTTCAACCTCCCTCCAGTTGGCCTCCCTCCTGAGAGTGTCTCTCTTGCCCCGCGTCTCCCCCTCTCCCCATCTCCACTACCTCCTCTCCGCCACTCCTCACAACCCCTCTCAACCTCCTCTTCCTCCCTTCGCCTCCTCTCCTCGTCGTCGCCCCTCCCTTCCACCTCCTCGCCTTCCTTTACTCCCTCTCCCTCTGTGTCTCCCCTCCTTACCTCCCGTCTCCCACTCTCCTCTCTCCTTTCCCTCTCCTTGCACCGCTCCAGCTCCCTCAGGATCGCTTCGTCCTCTTCTATGCCGGTCGGCATCTGCTGCAGCCGCGCCTGCGCTAGCAGACGAACGGTGTCGGCCGCTGCTTGCAGGGCGGGCAGCATGTCAGGGGCGGGCGAGGAGAGGAACCGGCAGGAGCTGTTGCTGACCGCCCACCCCAGGTAGACCGCTGAGCTGGTTAACACTGTAGGGGGGTCTGTGTGTGTATAAGGGGGGATGGAAAAAGGAATGAAGCAGCATGTCAGGGGCGCGGAGGGGGGTGGGGAGAAGAGGAACCGAAACGTACTGTTGCTGACGGCCCATCCCAGGTACACTGCTGAGCTGGTCAACACTGCAGAAGATCTGTGTGTTTGGGGAAAGGGGAAGAGGAGGGGGAGGGCGAGGAATCAAATTGGGCTCCACAAGCCCTTTTGCCCACACCGCCCTCCTCGTCTGCCTCACCTGTCTGGTGCTGGAAATAGCAGTGGTGCCACGGCCAAAGCCCCACCTTTTCCATGCTGCAGAGAGTAGATCATCACAGAAAGGTCCAGAGAACGCACACACCTCGTTGATGCTGCAGAAGGTAGAATGGAGCAGCAAGCGCACCCGCCTCGTTGATACTGCAGATGGTAGAACACAGCAGCAAGAGCAGCAATGAGATTGAGCTCCACGAACCCTCTCGCCCACACCGCCACGCCCATACCCACCTCCCTGCCCGCCTCACCTGTCCGGCCAGAGATCGCACCTCGCTGATACTGCAAGTAGTAATACACAGCAGCAAGGGCAGCGATGAGATTGGGCTCCACGAGCCCTCTCGCCCACACCGCCACGCCCACCCTGCTCTCCTTGTCCGCCTCTGTCCTCTCCTCCACGCCCCCCAGCACCTCCTCCACCTCGCTCACTCTCCTGATCCGCTGCATCAGCTCAAACGGTGGGCCGCCACTCTCAGCTGCGCTGTAGAACTTCCCGCCCTCCTCCTCTCGCTCCCTCACCACGGCCTCCACTGCCCGCGCTGCCACCCGCCACAGCTGCCGCTTCAGCCGATGCAGTGGAATAGTCGTGCGCTCAGGTTCTCCCTCCCCGCTTCTCTCTCCACCGTCAATTAGCCACGCACCCGCACCAGCACCAGCACCAGCACCAGCACCAGCACCAGCACCAGCACCAGCACCAGCGCTCCCCCACACGCGCAGCAGCTTCTGCTTAATCTCTTCCCGCCAAGGAATGGAAGAGGGGGTGGGTTGAATGCGAGGGGAAGGGCTGGAAACACTGCCAGCTGTAGCATGAACTGTTGCCCCGGCTGCATTGGCCGCTGTAGCCTCACAAGTGGCGGCTGTAGCAGCATCAGCAGTACTGCACGTGTGCTTCACTTCACTGGAGCCAGCAGGCGCAGCAGCAGCAGGGCAGGCAGCAGCTGCAGCAGCATCACATGCAGGCTTCGGCTTGTGCTCTGCAGCAGCAGCAACACAGCGGCCTCTGCTTCTCTCCTCATTCGCCACACCACCACAAACATCATCGCCATCACCACCACGACCAGTTGTTATGTCATCCTCTCCTTCTCCTCCCGCTCCTCCCTCCAACCCCCTCTGTCCCTCCTCCTGCTGCACTGCTAGCTTGACCCCTCGCTGCTGCAAGCCTCCATGATTTGCCGCTTCGAATTTGCCACCCCCCTTCTGCTGCTCCCTATGGTGGCGGATGAGAGCCACAACAAGGTGAACAGCGTGGGAGAGCGAGGGCAGCAGGGGGGCGTGGTCGAACATGTTCCCCGGCAGCACGAAGCCATACGCCTCCAGCAGGTCCTCGTTGCCCCGCAGCCCGTAGCTCGTGCTCACCTCCTCTCCCCGCGCCACAGAGACTGTTGCCCCAAACTCAAACGTTGTCCCATCGGCTCCAAACTATGGGCGTGGGGTGGGAAGGGGTGAGGGAGGCAGGGAGGAGGGAGGGAGGGAGGGAGGGAGGGAGGGAGGGAGGGAGGGAGGAAGGGAGGGAGGGAGGGAGGAAGGGAGGGAGGGGAAAACAGGTAAGCGGGGTGGGGACAAACGGGGAATGGAGAGCAAGGGCAGCAGGGGGTTGTGGTCGAACATGTTCCCCGGCAGCACCAAGCCATACGCCTCCAGCAGATCCTCGTTTCCCCGCAGCCCGTAGCTCGTGCTGACCTCCTCGCCCTGACTCACCCCAGATGTTGTCCCAAACTCAAACGTATCCCCATCAGCCCCAAACTCAAACGTATCCCCATCAGCCCCAAACCCAAACGCTTAATGAACGGCGGGAAGAACGGCCACAGTCGCTGCTGCAGCTCAAGCAGCTGCCAGTCGTCACATGTGACCACCCCGCGGCAGATCGACGCGCCGCAGTGGCAACTGAAGTTGTCGCTGCTGGTGCGGACGATGCCTGCGTTGGTGCTGCCGTAGTCGATGCTCAACTCCTCGCCTGGCGCGATGTCCCGCAAGGCCACCACCGTCACCGAGTCTTCCAATTTGCAGTTTGGGTCGCACGAGTGGTTGATGACATCGGGCGTCTCGGGCCCACGCGTCGGATGCGGCACCTGCCAGAGGTGATCGCTGACTCGCAACGAGAGCTCTCGTATGCGCTCGTCGCTTCCCAGCAAATATTCGAGGCCAACCAGCTTGCCGGCGAAAACGAGAAGCGGTTCGCCACGTCGGATGTTCGCCAATGCGAACAGCCCCTTGAAGGCATCCGCGCCGCGGCCCTTGTAACGAGTCACTACGCGCGGGTCGTACCACCCCGACTCGGCCATCTTCCGTTCAATATGAGCCGAGCAGTGGCCGGCGAACCGCCGCTGCCAGTCGTGCGAGCGCCATTCGGTGAATGTGAGCGTTCCGCGACAGCACGCGGCGCCGCAGCGGCAGTGCAGGCCGGCATGCATGCTACCCTCCGTCTCCGTGCAGGCGTAGTCGTACGTGACGTGCTCACCCGGGCGGATGTCGCGCAAGGCGACCATGCAAGTAGGGGTAGCGTACCATGTGTTGGGGTCGCACGAGTGGTTGTAAAAAAAGCTCGGGTCTTCGTCGGGGTCCGTTATCGTGTCGTACATGTCGTCACCGACCATGTACGAAAAGTGAATCATCATTTCGCGCTTCTTATGATCGGGTTCCGCTGATAAGTCACGAGCGTGGTACACTCGCCGCGCAGCGGCCTCTTCTTCGTCCCACTCGCAAACGACCTCGCCTCGTGCGATAGAGCTGCGCGCGAACAGCCCGCGGCATTGGAAGCCGTAGAGCTGGTGCTCTCGCACGACGATGTGCGGGTGGAGACCCATGATGGAGGAGCGAGAACGGTTGGAGGATGAGTGTGTGTGAAGTGTGCAGTCTGATGACGGGAGGAAATGGTGCGCTAAATAAGTTATATCGTTGCTTGAACGTTGAGACTGATGCAAAACGCCGTGAGACGCTGTATTTATGGAATCTAGGGGAATTGGTGTGGAGGCGCGATACACTGAACGAAGGCAGAGGCCCTCAAGGTGAGGTGGAGGAACTGGAAGTCACTCACAGAAAAAAGTTCGCGTTCCAAACGAAGTTCGACCCCATCGCCCAACGAAAGGCGGAGGGCCTCGAGGTGAGGTGGAAGCGGAAGCCAATCACCCACCTCGTATGATCGCGTTCCAGGGTCGCCCCCATCCGCCTAGAAGGAGGTCCTTGACGTGAGGTGATGGAATCGTAAGCCGATTATTCACTACCATGATCGCGTTCCAGTCTCCAGTCCAGATGATGATCGCACACATCCGCCCAGAACAAAGGCAAAGCCTTTTCAAGGTGAGGTGAATTGCAAGTCGATCATTCACCGAAGTGATTGACTTAGGATTCCAACCAGCACGTTTGTTGTACATTCTTTGCGGTCTTATTCGTTATGTCACGATGCAAAACGGTGTGTCTAGAAGACGTTCTACACCGTTTAGAACCGTACGAGCTGCAATCCCCCTACCTTCGCGCTCCGGACTATGACCGCGTTCCAGTGATGACATGCATGCTTGGAGGATTGTCAGTTGTGTTGGGTGAAGTATGACGCTCGCAACCATCGCAGAATGTCGTGGGAATCAATCGCAGGTTCGCAACCAGTACCTAGGCGCCCCATCCTCTCTTTTCGTTGCCAGGTCAGACATCTGATCATCACCCATCGCCTGGAACACGATCGTGTGTGTGGAGGAATCGTGGACTGGAACACCGAATGAGTGATTGACGTGTGACATCTTTCCGCATGGGCAGAGCAAGGAGGCCGTATTCTGAGAAATCGATACAGAACGTAGGATTTCTCGATCCGACGGTGAAGATGGGAATTGAAAGATCGTCATTTCCGCAACTCACGCTTGTTGTGAGTCAGTGGAATCGCGTTACGACCAGTACTGTTCCATGGTTTAGGCGTGTTACATTTTCCGAACTCGCTGAAAGTCCGGACGGCTGTCCGGACATGTGTGAACAATGTGACTCGCATGGTCGTGTTGCGATCAATGCAACGTCGTAAGGAGGCAACACGAAGATTGCGACGTCATTTCGAACCTGACGAACTCCCCATCGAGATTTAACGAGTTCCGTAACCGTCCGGACGAAAAAGTGAAACATGTAACAGCCCTTACATCCCCAGGCGCAACCCATGGATTTGAATCTATCTCAAATCTCCTCGGTCGACGAGCAGAATTTTCAACCTGCCAGTCAGCCTCTCCTACACTCTACTCTCTAACACTCTAGCTGCTGCCACTGCTGCTGCCAGCCAGCCTCTCGAACAATCGAATCAACCAAGCTCTTTTTTCTTCACAACGTGAGTGACAAAGAATCTCACGCATCAGCCCCTCTTCTCGACGCGGTAGCTTATCGATTCAACACGACGATCCGAGCTATACTGGCTATATTACACGGAGGAGCGACCCATCGCGTGAAAGAATAACTGAGAAAGACGATAGCCAGAAAGGAGTCTAACAGAACAGATACCGCTGCTCACTAACTATTGAACAAGCAGCCACGTGCGAGTTATTTCTATCCAATGCAGGCTGGAGAGACCCTCAGTTCAGTCGAAAGGGAGAAGATCGACGGAATGACAGACAGACAGACATACTGGCAGTAGCAAGCAGGAAATCCCGTCTTAGGCAGCCAGCAGCACCCCAGTCGTCAGCACTCAGCACCCCGGCGCCAAGTGTCTCCCACGTTGCGATTCAGCAGCACCCCGAGTCAAGTTCCGGTGGCGGGATGATGTTATCCCTGGACTTGGATCAGCAGCAGCCAAAGCAGCAGCGAACCGGCAATCACGCTGTGGCCGTTGATCTGAACGTCAGCGAGACGCGTTACTCTGACGATGCGACGATTATCGGCGACATTTGCGACAAGGAGGAAGGACTGCTGCTGCTCGCAGCGGCACGCGACAGTCGCGAGGATGGCGGCGCATCGGCGGCAGAAGCGACAGCCGCGGGCGGTGACCACCGCAGCAGCAGCGGTTGCGCTGCTGCTGCTGCTGGTGCTGATGATTTCGAGGAGAGGGAGGAGGAGGAGGAGGAGGAGGAGGAGGAGGAGGAGGAGGAGGAGGAGGAGGAGGAGGAGGAGGAGGAGGAGGAGGAGGAGGAGGAGGAGGAGGAGGAGGAGGAGGAGGAGGAGGAGGAGGAGGAGGAGGAGGAGGAGGAGGAGGAGGAGGAGGAGGAGGAGGAGGAGGAGGAAGGCGAGGGAGACGATGGAGAGCTGAGCCCGTGGTCAGCGCTGACGTTCGCATGGGTGAGTGCGCTGCCTGCTTGGAAGTGGCTGGTCCATCCAAGTCACTCGCTTTCTTTCCTCGCTTCCTTCGGTGCAGCGTAGGCAGCTTAGGTTGCGTGTGTGTGACTCTCTTGCCTCTCATCTCCAATTTCGCCCCCTCCCTTCTCTCTAACCGCCCCCTCTCTTCCCCTGCCTTCCCCCTCCCTCCCCCTCCCTTCCCCGTGCACAATGAAACCAACCAACGCCGCGCCGCGCGCAGGTGACCCCCACAATGCGCATGGACGCGCGCAAAACGCTGCAGCTGGCAGGCCTCCCCCCGCCCCCCCGCACCTGCCGCGCGGAATGGCTGGACGCGCAAACGGCGCGCTTGCAAGGGGAGGGGCGGAAGGAGGAGGAGCACTGGGAAGGGGAGCAGGGGACAAGGGGTGGGTGGCGGGGAAGCGGTGAGACGGTGTTGACGGGCGGATGGAGGGATGGTTGCGCCGAAAGTGCGGAGGCCGGCGTTGGTCGGATGGATGGTGCGGCGAGGCATCTTAAAACTCGGGCTGATGGGGGGATGGTTGCCCCCAGGGGCACGCGATGGTCTCGTGCGGTGACCCGCGTTGGTCGGCTGTGGGCGGGGGGCTGGCGGAAATGGCCTTTTTGGGCGGCTCTGTATTGGCCGCACCGGTGGCAGCTGCTGCTGCTTGCAGTTCTGTTTCTCGGGGAGTCGATTCTGCAAGTAATCAAAGCCGTGCTGCTGTATCAGATAGTGAGTGCTGCTGTATTGCATGGCGAGTGCCTACGTTGGTGAATCGCGTTTCGCGTGTAGTATGCAAGCGTATATACGCCAAACGCTGCCCAAAAGGGGGTATGGTACGCACAGCCGAATGCATGCCCGGGCAGGTAAAAAAACTTTCCGGCGAGGTGCTAAGCACTCGCAACCCTCGTCTCGTTTTTACGAACATCCTCAGCGGAACTACAGCGCGCCTTCGCAGCCAGGACAGGGGAAGGTGTTGCTGCAGGAGTGAGGTCATCGTGAGCTAGAAAGGGAAGAACAGGAGAGGATGTTCATCGAAATGAAGAAAAGGCCCGTTATTATGCTCGGCAAGTAGTGCTGGTTGGGGAGACTCATCATCCACTGGACAACACAATGGAGGGAATTGGGAGTGGATGTGGGGTGGAGGGGGTTGTCAAGCGGTGGAGGTGAGGGGATGACGGGCATTTGATTTTCAAATTCAAGGTTGAAATCGCGATGTGCGAGATTCAATTTCAGTTCGCCACGTCCCAGCCAGCCTGCACACGTTTGGGCCTATCTACACCCAAATCGCAAATTGTGTGGGCGTATAAACGCTATACAAATTTCCAACTAAGTTGAGGTCTTTTGCAGTCACATGGTGAGAGCACAATGCACCAGTGAGTGAAAAGTTTACATGTGCATGCATGAGTGGTCGCACGTAAGTATTTGCCAGTACGAAGAGTTTCTTACACTTGTCACTTTCCTCTCTTAATTGCTCCCACTCTCCATTGTTTGTAAAGCTCAGCCGGAATCCACTGAGCTAAAATGGCTCGTTATAAAAGGATGAGCGCGCTCATAAAACCCCAGGCCATCATTGCCATTGACGCTTTTCGAGGACCTTAGGCAGATCTCAGTGCTCCACCAACATTCATCAATCCCCCCCTTATCCCTCCTTCCCCTCCACCAGATCGCCTACCTCAAAGCGTGCGGCAGCAGCAACAGCAGCATCGCGGGGCAACCCGCGGTCATGGAAGGTTACCTCACGGCAGCAGGGCTGGGGGCAGTGTCGGTGGTGCTGGCTGTGGTAAGCCAGGAATAGGGTTGAGGTTTGAGGGTTCAGGGTTGCTCTATTGTATTTGCCTCACGGACCAAGTATCGAACCGCATGCTGTTGAGCAGTCGCAGTGTGCGGAGCAGCATCAGATTCAGCTCGGATGCAGCCTCGGGTGCAGCCTCGGATGCAGCCTAGCACGCACATGCCCGTCAGCAGCCAAACCCATTGCTGCTTGTCAAAAGTCTTTCATCTCCCCCAACTCAACTCAACTCCCTCCATTTCTCTCCTCACCTCCTTTCCCCTTCCCCTTCCCCTCCTCCATCCCTCTTCCCTCCCCTTCCTAGCCGCGGGGCAGCTGCTGCTGCGCCCAACCCAACTGACGTTAATTCCTCTCCTCACCTCTTTTCCCCTCCCCCCTTCCCACCTCCCCACCCCCTCAGGTTCTTCCCCCAGCTGCTAGCAGCAGCGCCCATAGGCGCGGGGCAGCTGCTGCTGCGCCTGCCCCTGCCGCTGCTGCTCAATTCCTCGCGCTGCTCCGCGCCCTTCCCCCGCCTCCCCCTCTCCCCACGCCTCCCCCTCTCCCCCGAAGGCGACCTTGCCGCCTGCCTGCTGCTGCTGCAGCAGCAGGGGGAGGGGGGCGAGCCGGGGAAGGGAGTGGCGGAAGGAGAGGGGGAAGCTGCGGGGGAGGGAGAGGGCGCGGGGGAGAGCTGGGGAGCGCAAGTGGCTCCTACTGTGCTGCCGGCGCTGCTGGCGTCCCGCACGGCCCACCTGCTGCCCATGCTCAGAATCGACCTCCCCCACCTGCCCCTCCTCCACCAGGTCCGCCCTCCCCCTCGGTCTGCCCCATTGCCCCCTCCCATCGCCCCATTTCCCCCTCCCATCGCCCCATTTCCCCCTCCCATCGCCCCATTTCCCCCTCCCATCGCCCCATTTCCCCCTCCCATCGCCCCATTTCCCCCTCCCATCGCCCCATTGCCCCCTCCCATCGCCCCATTTCCCCCTCCCATCGCCCCATTTCCCCCTCCCATCGCCCCATTTCCCCCTCCCAACGCCCCATTGCCCCCTCCCATCGCCCCATTTCCCCTTCCCCCCGTGCAGCTGGTGTATCGCAACTCCAAGCCATCTGGTGCAAAGGCTGTTGCTGACACCTGGTTGAAGCCCAATCCCCCCCGCTCCGCCCCAGCCCCACCATGGCTGACCCCTCTCCCTAGCCCCTAGTGTATACCCCTCCACGCCCATCCCCCCCCCCTCTAGGCGGCAACTGACAGTCTACTCGGGGCAGGCGCGGGTTTCTAGACGTCTCAAAACTCCATTCCCCCCCCTCTAGCCGGCAATTGACAGTCTACTCGGGGCAGGCGCGGCGGCGGGCGGGGGAGCACATGCTGACCGTTCCATCCCATCCCATCCCATCCCCCTCCCTACCACCTCTCTTTCATGCGCCACACCTCCCCATCCCACCACCTCCCTCCTACCAGGCGGCAACTGACAGTGTATGCGGGGCAGGCGCGCAAGCAGGCAGGGGAGCACATGATGACCATCCCTCGAGCGCTCTTCCTGGCCACAGACAAGATGCTGCAGGACGGAGTGCCTTACCAGGGGCCTGTCTGGTCCACCGGCATGGCCGCTGCATGGCTGTGTCGTGAGATGGTGAAGGGCAGGGAGTCGTTCTGGTGGCCGTACCTGCAGTTCCTGCCTCCCTCTGTCAGCCTGCCGTTCTTCTTCAAGCCGGAAACGCTGATGGAGCTCGACTCGCCTGCTTTTGTACAGAAGGTGGGTGGGTGGACGAGTGTGTGTGTGTGGATGTGGGTGTGCGCTGGGTTGGGGGAGGAGGGGAGGGTAGTGGCTGGTTGTGGGTATGTGTGTGTGTGTGTGCGCGCGCTCGTGCGTGTGTAATTGTGTGTGCGTGCGTGCGTGTGTGTGTGTGTGTGTGTGTGTGTGTGTGTGCGTGCGTGCGTGTGTGTGTGTGTGTGTGTGTGCGCCCACGTGTGTGCAAGTGTGTGCGTGTGTGTGTGCGTGCGCGCGTGTGTGTGTGTGCGGGTGTGTGTGTATGCGCGCGTGTGCATGTAGGTGTGTGATTGTGTGTGTGTGTGTGTGTGCGTGCGTGCGTGTGTGATCGTGTGTGTGTGTGTGTGTGTCCGTGTGTGTGTGTGTGTGCGCGCGGGGGTGTGTGTGCGTGTGTGCGTGTGTGTGTGTGTGCGCGCGTGCGCGGGTGTGTGTATGTGCGTGTGTGCATGTACGTGTGTGATCGTGTGTGTATGTGTGCATCCCTCCCTCCCGGCACCTCTTCCCGTCTCCTTACCTCCCTCCCCACAAAACACCCCATCTGGACTTCGATCGCCAAGAATATTCCTGAGCCATCTCCATCCCTATCCATCCCCCTCCACCGTTCTGGGTCAGATATCAACCCCTCTCCACCCCTCCTCTTACCATCCTCCATCCCTCTCCAACCCCCTCCACCCTTCTGGGTCAGATATCCACCCATCTGAACAACTACCGGTCGGAGTACAACCGCATTGCACCGCACTTACGTGCCAACACCACTTTTTTTGAGTACCTGTGGGCCGTCTCCATCATCAACTCGCGCGCCTTCGGGGACCAGACGCGCGGTAACACGGTTACCGTCATGGTGGAGGGCAAGGAGCAGGAGGTGCCTCTGGCGAGCGGGCCCTTAGCGCTCGTGCCGATAGCGGAGCTGCTGGACCATGAAGACATGTTCCAGGCTCAGTATGATGTGAGTAAATCATGTGGGGCATGGCGCAGTGGTGGATGGTAACACGGTTACCGCCATGGTGGATGGCAAGCAGCAGGAGGTGCCTCTAGCGAGCGGGCCCTTAAGCGCTCGTGCCGATAGCAGAGCTGCTGGATCATGAAGACATGTTCCAGGCTCAGTACGATGTGAGTGGACTTGGATGTTGAGATGTGGGGGGTTGAGAGGAGGAGGTGTCTTGTGCGACATGATCCGAGGAGCTGCTGCTGGGCTATGTCTTTGTGCCCTCTTCATGCCCGCACTCCACGCCCTTCTATCCGTCGGTCGAAACGAGCTTGCAGCTTTCTATCCGTTTCCTTCGTTTGAGAGCACTCCACGCCCTTCTATCCGTCGGTTGAACCGAGCTTGCAGCTTTCTATCCGTTTCCTTTGTTTGAGAGCACTCCACGCCCTTCTATCCGTCGGTCGAACCGAGCTTGCAGCTTTCTATCCGTTTCCTTCGTTTGAGAGCACTCCACGCCCTTCTATCCGTCGGTTGAACCGAGCTTGCAGCTTTCTATCCGTTTCCTTTGTTTGAGAGCACTCCACGCCCTTCTATCCGTCGGTCGAACCGAGCTTGCAGCTTTCTATCCGTTTCCTTCGTTTGAGAGCACTCCACGCCCTTCTATCCGTCGGTCGAACCGAGCTTGCAGCTTTCTATCCGTTTCCTTCGTTTGAGAGCACTCCACGCCCTTCTATCCGTCGGTCGAACCGAGCTTGCAGCTTTCTATCCGTTTCCTTCGTTTGAGAGCACTCCACGCCCTTCTATCCGTCGGTCGAACCGAGCTTGCAGCTTTCTATCCGTTTCCTTCGTTTGAGAGCACTCCACGCCCTTCTATCCGTCGGTCAAACCGAGCTTGCAGCTTTCTATCCGTTTCCTTCGTTTGAGAGCACTCCACGCCCTTCTATCCGTCGGTCGAACCGAGCTTGCAGCTTTCTATCCGTTTCCTTCGTTTGAGAGCTCTCCACGCCCTTCTATCCGTCGGTCGAACCTAGCTTGCAGCTTTCTATCCGTTTCCTTCGTTTGAGAGCACTCCACGCCCTTCTCCCCTTCTCCTCCCAACTCTCCTCCCCTTCTCCTCCCCTTCTCCTCCACTTCTCCTCCCCCTCTCCTCCCCTTCGCCTCCCCTTCTCCTCCCCCTCTCCTCCCCTTCTCCCCCCCTTCTCCCCTCCTTCTCCACCCAGATTGGAGCATCACAGTTTGACTTCATAGCTTTGATGCCCTTTGCCAGGGGCGACGAGCTGTTCACATCTTCTCCACCCCCTCTCCTCCCCGTCTACTCCTCTTCTCCTCCCCTTTCTCCTCCCGTTTCCTGCCCCTCTCGTCTCTCCCCCCTCTCCTCCCCCATACTCCCCCCCTCCTCCTCCGTCCAGATTCAAGCATCACAGTTTGAGTTCATAGCTTTGATGCCATTCACCAAGGGCGCCGAGCTGTTCACGTCATACGGCCCCAAGGTGAACGAGGAGCTGCTGCTGGGCTACGGCTTTGTGCTGGACGGCAACAAGCAGGAGAACGTGCTGCTCTTCCGCACGCTGCTCGATGCAGTGAACCTGGTCGCCCTCGTCCTGCACCACGACGCCGCCCGCCCCGGCGAGTGGGTGGCGGGCCCGGGCGGCTTGGGTGGGGCGGCTGGAAAGGGCGGCAAGGCAGGGGAGGTTGGGGATGTGAGTGAGTGTCACGAGGGGAGTGAGGGAGAGGGAGAGGAAGAGGAGGAGGGGAAGAAACGGACATGTGCAGCGAAGTACGGGGATGAGGCTGTGGAAGGTGGTGGTGCGGCTGTGAGTGCAGAGGCGGGCAGCAAAGGGGATAGGGAGCTGAAGCAGGGCTTGGCACGCATCTGGGGAGAAGGGCTGGGTGACTGGCTGGTCAACGAGGGTACTGATGGTGATGCGGATGGTGATGCAGATGGTGATGATGATGATGATGATGATGATGATGATGATGATGATGATGATGATGATGATGATGATGATGATGATGATGATGATGATGATGATGATGATGATGATGATGATGATGATGATGATGATGATGATGATGATGATGATGATGATGATGATGATGATGATGATGATGATGATGATGATGATGATGATGATGATGATGGTTATGGTATGGTGATGACTACGAGGAGGACGACGATGAGGAGGATGAAGATGATGATGATGAAGCTGCCGGGAGCAGGTGGGGCAAAAGCAAAGCGCAGGGGCGAGGGAAGAAGCGGAAGAACAGCAACAGAAACAAGCACAAGAACAAGAAAAAGAGCAAGGGGAAGAGCAAGAGCGGCAGCAGGCATGGAAAGCAGAAGCAGAAGAAGAGCAAGAAGCAGCAGCAGTCAGACTCCCCAACAGCCAAGCTTCTGCGAGTGCGGCAGGCGCTCTGGCGGGTGGCAGCCAAGGCAGTAGAAGCAATTGCCAGGGAGCGTGCAGAGGCAGAGAAGCAGTTCGTGCACGTGGGGGCCATGCCTCAGTACTTGGCTCGGCAGGAGATCAGGAGGGAGAGCGAGGCAGACGAGGTGAATGGCGGAGTGGAGGTGCTGGCAGGGAAATACAAGGACCCCAGTTTTGGCGTGTCTGTGTGGCGAGGAGGGATTGTGGAGCCCAACCTGCTAGCTGTGTTCGCTGCTGTGTGGTACTACCTCAAGCACCAGTCAGGTGAGAGCTGCCGGGTGAGCTTTGAACGGTGAGTTTGAATCTGAGAGTCTATCTTTCCGGCATTCCTGTGTGGAGCCGAGCCGAGCTGAGCCGAGCCGAACCTGTCGGCCGTGTTCGCTGCTGTGCGGACTACATGGAGCGATGATTATTGGGTGTTAAGGTGTTACTTTTATAATTATTGTATTCCTAATAGTACATTGAAGGGAGTGTGCAAACGTGTTGGCTGTGTTCGCTGCACGTGGTACTACCTCAAGTCACGTTTCCACTCCTTCCCCTTCACATTATCTCCCCTCCCTCCACCAGAGCCCCCGGCCGACATGGCCAAGTCAGTGCTGTATCTGGGCTGGGGAGGGTCCAACAGTGGCTGTCGGGACCCACATGTTGATAGCCAAATCATGCATTCACCCCTCACTCTTTCTCTGCTCTCTCCCCTCCCTCCGTCAGAGCCCCCATCGGACATGGCCAAGTCAGTGCTGTACCTGGGCTGGGGGGTGAGCAACAGTGGAGTGAGCAACAGTGGCTGTTAACGCAGACATGCTGATAGATAGCCCAGACACATTTCCACTCCTTCTCCTATATGTTCTCTCCCTTCCACCCACCAGAGCCCCCATCGGACATGGCCAAGTCAGTGCTGTACCTGGGCTGGGGGGTGAGCAACAGCGGCTGTCGGGACGTGGCCTCTCCCTTCTCCAATGTGCTGCCCGCCCTGCAAGCAGCGGCCGACACCGTTCGTCTGCTAGCGCAGGCGCGGCTGCAGCAGATGCCGACCAGCATAGAAGAGGACGAAGCGATCCTGAGGGAGCTGGAGCGGTGCAAGAGCGGCGGGAAGGCGGGGGAGAGGGAGAAGGAGGGGGTGAAGGGTGGGAAATTGGGCAAGGAAGGAAAGAAGAAGGTGGCGCAGAGCAAGCAGCAGCACAAGGAGAAGTTGACAAGCGTGGAGGAGGAAGTTTCTGCGAAGCGTCTTAGCCGGCGCCGGCGCCGGCGTGCTGTTAGCGAGGGGAGGATCAGCGACGACTACAGTGATGATGACAACAGCGAGAGTGACAACAACGAGGAGGAGGGGACGGATGCTGATTTCAAGAGCAGGAGCGAGGAAGAGGAGGCGATGGACTGCGACGCGTGGGAGAGAGAGCAGGCCAGCGGGGAGAGCGAGGAGGAAGGCAGCGGGTCGGAGAATGGGAACATCGGCGGCGGTAGTAACGGGGGTGCGAAGAGGATGACTGTGATGGGGGTGCGGTGTGGGTGTGAGGAGCTGAGGGCTGAGGCGGATGAGCGGATGGTGGCGGTGCGATTCCGGAAGGCCAAGAAGGCGGTGCTGAAAGAGGTGGTGGACCGGCTAAGAAAGGTGTGCCCTGCCTCCCCCACTGCTTTCCTCTGAAATGACTTTTAAGCCGGCTCAAAAGTCACTTCGTTTTGAGTCGACTCGGAAGGCTAACGTAAGAAGGCGGTGATGAAAGAGGTGGTGGACTGGCTAAAAAGGCCTGCCTGCCCTGCCTCCGCCACTGCTTTTCTCTGAAATCCAACTCCAGGGCCTCTTTTAATTCCACACCTGATCTCCTTGTGGTAATCCCTTCCTGGATTCCTCGTAGTACACCGCACCCTGTCATGGGGGGTCGCAGATAGCCGTCCACCTGTGGTCTTTGTTTTGCGCGGAGACTGTGCCAGCCAGCTGGCAGGCATGGGGGGGAGGAGCATCAGAGGGCACTGTGCGGCGAGCTGGCAGAGCCACTGTTTGTTGTCGCTGCCTTGTTTCACTTGTCTCTGATGCAGCTCACCATGCTTGGTCGTTTGGCCGCATTGCTACCACTAGATAGTGATACAGTAACCCAATTTGGAGCTGCTTTTTACATTGAACCTTCAATAAGTGTTTACAACAATCACCACACCAATACTTGTGTTTTGACAGCTGGAGCTGCCCGTATCCCGCTTTAGATACCACTGGAAACACCTGGAAAATTAAAAATATGATCATTAGCAGGAGGCATACCAGTAACACAATCTCACGTTCCCTGTACTTGGACGAATCATCCCCACCAACCGATTTGCACACCACGCCTTCATCTTCCCGCTTTATGACACTACCCACAATGCTTGAGCTAAGCAAGGCTGCTTTTTCACCTCCCGAAATTAGGGCTTAGTCTATGGCATCGGGTCGCGTGACCTGCTCCACCAACTCCCTCACAATCAGCCGCTTCGGCGGGAACGATAGCCTCTGCTGCAGCTCAGGCATCCGCCACTGGCGCTGCGAATGCGGCAGCCCGACGCGCCGACGCGCCGCACTCGCAGGCCGACGCGCCGCACTGGCAGCGGAAGTTGTCACTGGACGGTGCGGTTGGCGCCTGAGTTAGTAATGCTACCGTAGTCGATGCTCAACTCTTCGCCTGGCGCGATGTCCCGCAAAGCCACCACCGTCACCAAGTCTTCTTCCATTCCGCAGTTTGGGTCGCTCGAGTGGTTGATGAGTTCGGGCGTCTCGGGCCCACGCGTCGGATCTGGTTTCTGCCCGTTTAACGACTCAGATTCGTTTATTTGCAGCGAGAGCTGTCGCGTGCGTTCGTCGCCGACAACCTCGCCGGCAACCTTGCCGGCGAAAACGAGAACCCGTTCCCCGCGTCCAATGCTCGCCAATGCAAACAGCCCCTTGGAGCCGTCCGCGCCGCCCTTGTAGCGCGGAATTACGCGCGGATCGTACCACCCCGACTCGGCCATCTTCCGCTCGATATAGGCCGAGCAGTGGCCGGCGTTTCGCTGCTGCCAGTCGCGCGAGCGCCACTCGGAAAATTTGAGCGTGCCGCGGCAGCTCGCGGCGCCGCAGCGGCAGAGCAAACCGGCGTGCATGCTACCCTCTGTTTCCGTGGTGGCGTAGACGTACGTGACTTGCTCGCCCGGTTGAATGTCGCGCAGGGCCACCATGCAACGTGGGTTGATGTACCACGAGTTGGGATCGCACGAGTGGTTGTAATAGAGGCTCGGGTCCTCGTCGGGGTCGGTTGTCGTGTCGTACACGTCGTCCTCGACCATGTACGAATATCGAATCATGAAATCGCGCTTCTCCTTATCGGGTACCGCCAATAAGTCATGAGCGTGGTAGTACACTCGCCGCTCTTCTTCCTCCAGGTCCCAATCGCAAACGATCTCGCCTTGTGCGATTAATCTGCTCGCAAACAGCCCGCGGCATTGGAAACCGTAGAGCTCGTGCTCTTGCACGACCATGTGCGGGTGGAGACCAATGCTGGAGGATCAGGAGCGAGTGGGGTAGTACTGGACGTGCAGTTTGATAACTGGGAATGCTCTGAGAGCTGATTTTCCTTGCTGAGAACTGTAATGTACATGCTCTGTATTATACAGTATCGCCGCTAAATCATGTGGAGGGTCGGCACGATGTTGCCGTGCAAGAATCTCGAGGACCCCATGGAACAGAAACAAGTCAGGCATCTCATCTAGAGGTGATGGAAACAGAAATTCCGCGGATTGTGCGGTGGTGAAAGTGAGAGACGGCAGCTATGGGTGTACACCTAACGCTCGCCAATTTCACGTCCTGCAACTGGTTTCGAGAAACACTCCTAACCAGATTTTGGCTTGTGCAATGAAAGTCCAGAATTTGAGGGCATGAATGGTTCCGTAACTCCCGTGATGCCATAAAACGACCTCATGCTACCACAGCGCATTGACCGTTTTTTTCATTGCTATCCACTCAATATATACTGAGCACCAAGCTCCAAGCTCATATATACTGGGTTGCACGTACCCTCTCTGAAATCGAATGCCTTTATAACAACCCACTAGTTCGGGTAAACCATGAATCATTGCCTAATGGTATGAAATTGGTGGTAGGGAATTTGGCGAGTTTTAGGTGTACATATCATGCAAGAAAAGTGGAGAGCGAGACATTGCTGAAAAGATGTTAGGGGGACAGAAGCATGGCATATTTTTCCGCCTCATGTCGTTTTTCTAAATTGAACGGTGCGCATTGTAAAATTGTGAGACATTTGGGCTATAAATCAAGGCCGAATCTTTCAAGGCATGAATGGCAGATCACAGCAATTAAACCTGATGCGCATTAGACGTACGCAACATTCGCCTTATCAAAGTGTGTGAAACGCACATGCTTTTCCGCCCTACTCGAAAAAAAAAACCATCCCAAAAAATTAGCGTTGCGCATGCCACCTTTAGGGGCGGCGGTGAAGTGAAACGAGCAAATACATTTCGACATTTTCGTAGAATTTGCCATGGGAAAAATGGGACAATAATGAACCTAAAAGTTACAATCTCTAAATATCTTAAGATTTGGGGATGACATCTCTTGGTATGTATGGGCACTTGTGCAATTGTATATGTATTTTTTTTTGCATTTTCGCCAAAATGTTCTTGTAGACGAGGGGCCATTGGCCGTGTTGGAATGCACGAGAAATATCTTACAATTGGGGACTGGCAAATTCAAGGGATTGGCTGAGCATCACCATATTGGGTCTAGTAGCAATTAAAAATAAATAACGAAGAGACGGATGACAACGGGATAAACCGATTCATTAACAGCTGCAATAAGAAAAAAATGGCTTGTATTACACGTGCAATTGGTCGTGCTGAATTGCAAATGGGAAAGCAAAGTGAATGGGTAGAGCAAATTCGCGTGCATTTTCTTAGTATCATGTATACAACCAATTTTTACGTAGATGTGACGTTATCCTACCCATCTCAACTTTGATTTCAAGCGCGTAAAATTGCTACAGTTCCTTGGCAGTATTGAGATTTTGCTTTTAATCGTCCCTTACAGATAGGTGTTGTAAGCATAAATTACGACAATTTATTTTCGCTGAATATCTTACATAACCATTCTATAATGTTCATTGACCGTCCTGTTGCGTAGCGCACCACTTTCGATCACATTGGTGCGACATCCACTAGAACGTGGTTGATAGACCGCTCCTCGACGCGGTGCATTTCCACAAACATAGATTTCAGTGTTCCTGCATACGATCGTCAAAACACATGGTGACCACAATTCGCAGTGTAAGGTGCGATAGATGTGCGCGTCACACTACGGGTGGAAAAAAAAGTTGTGGTGAAACAACTGAATAAGTGCGGATCCAACATAAAATGCGCGTTTGAAAACACTGTGTGAGTTTCAAACAGTAAGAAGGTGTCTCAAATGCCTGAGTACACTGTGAAATCATAGAAGAGAGAAGAGGGGCTGCACTAGCAAGAATGGGGATACAAATAGGAAACCCTAGAAGGGTTGTACTCGCTATAGAGCACCCCACTACAGGCTAGAGCATAAGATAACATTCTGACACACCCCCATAGCCAAAGTGGGGTGTAATCAGCAGAGCAAGCAAAGCAGTACAAGCTCAGGGTGGATCACAATGTCACCACAGATTCTGAGCACAAGTTCAAGAAGCAATAGTTTAAAGTTAACAATTATGAGCAAAGCTAGTGGTAGTCACAACAGGCAAGTGAGGAGGAGGAGAGAGAGTGAGAGGAGAGGAGATAGGAGGCGACGGATGAAGCTGCAGACACACGGGCAACAGGAGGCACACTGGCACACCGGCTACCGGAACAACGCTCCGGAATACTGGAGTAACTGGCCCCGCGGCTAAAGTAGCGGCAGACGAGCAACGGACCCACGGGCGGTTGGCACAGCTGGCTACGACTGGGCTACCGGACGAAGTCCCCGGAATACAAGTGCTGCTGGCGACACGACGGCAACCTCCATTCAGCTTCCCCAAACTATCCCACTCCCCCCTGGCGCACACCCGCTGCTACACCGCTAGCTCCACTCCCCCTTCACCCCCCCCTTAGTACCACTCCACCGGCTCCAACACGTCCACCCCCCCTCAGCGGCAGCTGCAGCACAAGGAGACGGAGGAGGAGGAGGAGCAGGGAACGGTACAGAGTGAAGTCCCCCCCATACCCCTCACCCCCAAACCCTAATGCAGGAGAATGGGGAGTAGGAGGGGTGGGGCGCCAGTAGAAGCATGGGGGATAGCAGGGAGGGCAGGGGCAGCAAGGAACGGGCCCACAACGGGCCTGGTACAGTCGCCCGAGCCGCGCGCAGGCGGCCCGAGCCGCGCGCGGGCCTGGCGCCGCCTGTTCGGGCCGCGGACGGGTCTGGCGCGGCCCGTACGTGCCGCGCGCAGGCTGTACGGGCCGCGCGCAGGCCACGACGGGCGACGGGGGGCGACGCGGAGGTCCCCGTCGCCCGTCGCAGCGCCTCCCGTGAGCGGCGCGCGGCGTGACGGGGCAGTAACCCGCCGCGCGCCTCGGGGCGCACGGCGGGCAGAAAACCGCCGCGCGCCTCGGGGCGCACGGCGGGAAGAAAAAACTGCCGCACGCCACGGGGCGTGCGGCTCAGAGAGTAGTGGTAGTGGTTGCAGCGGA